GTCTAATTTAGTCTCAGAAAATTATTATCTCCACAAAAATAAACCTAACGTATGAATATATCTGAATTTGTAAAATGAATTATGAATGCTTCTTTATTATTAATATTTTAAGAATAATTATTTAGACTTGTTTTATTTTTATAACAATTAGTACAAATCTATGTTTTGCATATTTTGTGTTGTTGAATAATATTTATTTTTTATTAAATGTGGTTACAACTAGCAACAAAACCTAAAGCATGTGCTGATTATGTCAGTTTCCAAGTTGTACTTTCTTTGTGTGTTATATTATTATAAAATGGGAATTGAAGTATAATCACCATATACCTTTGGTACGATATCTCAATAGTTTTTTAAATAAAAATATTAGAATTGTCATTATGTGGTAACGTCTTTTGTAACATTGCTTATCGAATCAATTATATAGTTTTAAATTTGTTTATTGGTGTATTAAATTTACTTTGCCTATGCTTGTCTTTAACTGAAAGAATTATGAACATTTCAGACAAAAATGGAAAGTACTCTCTAGATCGATCGATCGATGGATCGATAGATCGATCAACTGACTGATTGATCTTCACAATAACTAATCATTACATCACTACATAGGGTACTGTACGCCACCTACATTTATGTTTATTTAATACCGCCAGCAAATGCATTATGCTTTATTGTAATGTATTGTATTGTAGTGCATTTACACTTTCGCTTAGTCATGTTTACTTTTTCCAATGAAAATACATCATTTCGAAATTCGTGACCGTCAACTGGCCTTAAGTTCAAAACCAGTCGTTTACAAAAGATAGAGCACGGAGATTAGCTACGGTGAGATAAATGTATTGATACAGGTATAACCTGTTGCAGGTCGTGCGGAAACCTAAATTTGTTTTCAATTTTGAACACCTGTTGAGTGTGCGATAAGTGATAAGATTTTACCGTTTCAACTTGCGTTGACAATCGACTTCCTGGAGTGGAGTGTGATGCAGACCATATAAACAAAAGTTAACGTTCAGTTCAAATTAAAGGTAACACATGAACAGAATCGAATCATTTAATATATATAAAATGATTCAGAAATATATAGAAAATAAATATAAAATAAAAAAAAAATTGTTTGACCAGATAATATGGATGAAATGTAAATTTCACGTATCGATATATTTATAATCGTATCGATATATTTATAATCGTACAAAGCGCATTAGAGAATCCAACAAGGAACAGATTTTGTTCTATTACGGCACGGCAACACTGATAGGCAACAATTCAATTGGATTTGTTGTTGTTGTTGGGCAAGCTTTCTCACATATCCACATTCGCCGAATCCTAGACTCGAACCCACGCAGACAGTGACCACTCGGCCACTCGGGGCCCCTTCAATTGGAGTAAAGTGTCTTGTCCAAGCTGATCCGATGGTATGAATTATGAACCTTCCAAACAAGACTGCTCTCTCTCTCTCTCTCTCTCTCTCTCTCTCTCTCTCTCTCTCTCTCTCTCTCTCTCTCTCTCTCTCTCTCTCTCTCTCTCTCTCTCTCTCTCTCTCTCTCTTAATCTGTCTCAGATAAAGAGAATCTTGGAAACAACCGATGTGATCCGAACTGATTGGGTTTTATGTTTCAGATAACGGTCTGACGAACAAAATGTACGAGCTTCCGGTAAATTAGCGTGTCAATATACATTAGAGACATGTTTGTCTCACAAAATCAACGGAGGTAATATCTAATGGTAATTTCAGGTGTGCGTTCACATTTATCACTATCGTTAACAACCGTACAATGTTAATTGTGGTTCCAAAAGCCCACATTTTTTTGCTAAACAGGGTATACCGAGATTTTGGATTATGTGCTATAAACAAAGTTTCGTAACTGTTCCTTGCTTCACAGACGTTAAATTTTCTATGCATTTATAAGCCTGAGAGAAGAGACAATTTTTTGATATTAAATGATTTAATAATATTTCATACAATATTTCACACGCATCCTCCTTGGTGTATTATTGTACGAATCGTATTATTTTCTTCCTATGGCCTATTCTGTACTTGTGCAAAACAGTTGCTTCTCTTTTAGCTCAAAAACCAATAATATTACACTCAGTACATTATTTCCCTTGGATAAGTGTAAGTTGTTCTCTGGCTTCCAAAGTGAGCATGGAACTGTATTAAGTTTAGTATTATATGCTAATTATCTATGGATGTGTCAGACTAATGTCGAATATATACTGCACCTAGATTATATAAGAATAAATGCGAATGCTTTGCATTAAGTCCTCATCGTCCACCTGCTCCTCCTACAATAAAACGATCTCGAATCATTTTGTGTAGAACCATATTTACATACAAACCTCGACTTTATCCTATTATAAATATAGAATTCTTGCCATTCAAGTGTAGCATACACAACATACAGGATTTGTTTTCTTTTTATCCTGTGTGACCCATATCTCTCTCTCTCTCTCTCCTTCTCTCTCTCTCTCTCTATATATATATATATATATATATATATATATATATATATATATATATATGTCTGTGTGTGTTTGTGTATATATATATATATATATATATATACTTTATCTGCACCATCTACTATGCAGTTATCTAGGCACAAATGTACATAATTGTACATATCAATTCATTTAGTCCTTGTGAATCAGCCTTTGGTGCTTATGTGCCAACACTTTGTTTTCTATTTCCAGTTTTCTAAATCTAGAAATTGTATTGAATAAATATGTTATGTATCTTCTATTAAAATTCCGTTTCTAAGAAATAATTTTGTTTATGTTCCCTTCTATTGCGAATGACCTCCTACGCCAGCAAATTAAAACTAACATAGTGCTAAATTTCATTATTTGCTTTCTTCCGAATTATAATAAACAAAATATAATATTTACTAAAAATTATTGGGATCGTTAATAGAACAATGTATGTGCCAACTTATATTCACCTTTGAACATATTAAACAGGTCGTTTTGAAATGGGAGAACAATACGTCAATTGCAAACCAAAAAGATGATTGTATACTTTTGTGTGTTATTGTTATTACAGGAATAGAGGTCATAATATTCCTAATTTCACCTCACGATTGACCCTCTTCCCTGCAATTCCATTGGAGAGAATTATGAACAACGACGTTCTTGTACATGGATAACGAAAGAACATATAACTAGAAAAATAATCTCATAACACCAGAAGTAGAATAGACGTACCAGTGATGGACAGAGAGACATAGTATCATAATATATTCCTAGTGTTAAATAGCCTGTATATAAATGGTTACGAACCATGATCATGCAACGATCATCATTACTGCTGCAGTTTTCAGACTTTTCAATAGACATATATCATCTTTTTTATTCTTAGATCAGTTTTGTTGAAGTAGCAGGTATATACCTTCGTAAATGTATTCAATAACCATATATTTACTGGCAACTCTATTACGAATATAACGAAATAAATGTACTTATACAGTCATCACTCCCAACATATTAACTCTGGGTCCAAAATGGTGAGGTCTATCCCTATTCTGACCAATTCATAGCAAAGCTCTGTTGAAAAAAAAAACATTTCTGATTTATAGCTGTCTACACATGAGTTTGCACATTTTATGCATATAAGTCAGAACTGTACTTGCAACAGCTACGATAACAAAATTTTTAAGTTGACAAACTAAATGAAATTAAATCAAAAACCGAAACTGCTCTGTTAAGAATAAAGAGACAATTTCTTTGATTATTTGATCCGATTATGAAAGTTTCGTCTATGCCTAATCAGATTAGTTGTCTATTAAGACTTTGAAGTTATCACAACCAATATGCAGCACCGAAATCATATTTTCAAACCGATTTAAGAAATGGCAGTTTGCTACAATAAAAAGAGCTTTTGATGCAATGCTATAAACCATGAGGTGATTATTTTGGTTGACTTTGATCACACGTTTATAAACAGCCAAAATCTTAGACATTAAAGTTTTACCGATTTTCTGCTGCGGAATTGTGTCTGCAATGTACATTTTGACATTCACAACCAGTCTATACATTGTGTGAGAAACCATGCCACCGCAGCTCATTGAGTAGAATTCCACAATGGATATGCTTTATAACTGTAGACGCACAACCAGTCTATACATTGTGTGAAAAACATGTCACCGCAGCTCACTCAGTTGAAATTCCACAACAAATTCTACATAGCGGTACATGCACATGCATTGTTGTGGAAAGCCAGAATAGAACATAATAATATTCAAAAACAATAAAAGTGTTCTGCCTATCTTTGCAAAACCAGGAGAAAAATGTTTGTGGGACATCAGAATACATTTACTACAATGCAAAAAGTGTAGGCCCTGTGTCCCACTATACATTTTCGATGGTGTGCAGTGAGATGAATCACCATAAAAAAAAAAAACAGCAACAACGTACTATGCAGAAAAGATAAACAGGTCCTAGGTCTGACTTCAAATCCAGGAGATTACTTTATGACTGAAATATTGATACATCTCTAATGGTACAGGAGTTTACCATGCAGAGATCATGCAGAAATCGTACTATACGTAGACAATATGTCTGGAACTAGAAGAGTTTTACATGGATCTTACAAAAATATAACCTTTTAAAGTGTATTCAGTTATTTAATAAACAAATATTTTTTAACTAATCAAAAACATCATTTTTCAGTTGTGTACAGTTGTAACAAATTCTCGAAAATAAATATCCACAAAAAATATTAGAACGTACTATTTATAAATAGTAAAACGTATGTTTCAAATTTGCCTCAGTTATTAATTTCACATGTATAATCCAGGTGCCTCTGGTCATAGACAAGTTATGATAAAAACAATAATAATAATAATAATAATAATAATAATAATAATAATAATAATAATCATCATCATCATCATCATCATCATTAACACTCGAGTATGTTTTTATATGTATTATCCCCATCATTCAATTTTGCATCATATTTATCATTTACGTTATCATTTTATTACAGATTGTTGCAACAATCCCGTGGTCTAGTGGTCAGAGTGTAAGTCTCAGATGCTGGAGGTCACGGGTTCGAACCCTGGTCGAGTCAAACGAAACACTTGAAAAATGGTACTAACAGCTGTCTCGCTTGGGGTCAGCATTAAGAGGTTAGTGTTAGAACTGGTCGACCTGGTGTCAGGATAATGTGAACTGGGTGGTACATCATGCTACATGTCTGCGGCATGATGCCCACGGCCAGACATCTCAATAACTGTCTCACTGCAAAAATCATAGCGATAGGACTGAATTTTAAAAAAAAAATATGTTAAAAATCTAACTCTCACACTTATACAGAATTTTGCGATCTTGCATAGGATTGGGTACATTTATTTCTAATGTTCATCTACAAGACGCAAAAGCACTGCATGAAAATGACCAAAAATTTATTACTATTTGAAAAAGAAATGCAAATATACAATGCTGAAGGCAGTGTATATTTTAACATTTGTCTTTTCCATTATCTGTTAAAAAGTTTCTTCTTTTTACGCTTTACCATCGTTTTCCAAAAACACAACAAAACATTATTCCAGAATGGGCTTGTAATTTCACTATTATATATATATATATATATATATATATATATATATATATATATATATATATATATATAGAGAGAGAGAGAGAGAGAGAGAGAGAGAGAGAGAGAGAGAGAGAGAGAGAGAGAGAGAGAGAATACAAATCATATGGCGAATAACAACCCTTTTAAGCGTACTGGATCCATCAAGGGATCACGTGTGTCAGGGATTAATTAAAATAGATGCAATAAATTGACGACGAACAGTACGAAACTAGTAACTAACTAGCCTAAGCGCTTTCGGCTCTTAATGAGTCTTTTTCAAAGGCAAATACAAAACATATATACGATAAACAAATAAACACAAAAACGTTGTGTTTGTAAACCTCTACATGGCTGTCTTCACATGTGCTAAAACTATAAATACAACCAGCTTGTATAGACTAGATGCGGAAACTGAAAACGTTGTATAATTCCCTAAAAGTCTACAAGCCAAAGCGACATCTATTTTTACTTTTTGTACATATGTAACGCAGATTATATCCCGGATATTTGATTCTATACCGGTTATTCTTATAGTAAAAATTGAAGGGTAATAAGAAGATTTAGAAAATGTTAAATTTTACTAGTGCATAGTTTTCATTTTCTAGTCTTCTTGGCTTAGACCGCTTGGTTTCAATGTTCTAAGGCGGCGTATCCAGTATGATTCCTTTTCCTTCCTGGTTTCGGAACTCCAGCTGTGGTTGTTAGTAATAGCGATAAGTATTATATCACTGAAAGTGTGGTCAGGGGAGGAGAAGTGTTCTGTGACCGGGCTTCTGTACAGCGTTTTTGTCATCCAATCAGATCTATGAAGGTTTATCCTTTTGTGTAGCTTCTCAGTTTCTCCGACGTACTGAAGACCACAGATCTTACATGTGATGAGATAAGTCACATTCTCTGTTTTGCAGGTTTTATTTAGACCATGTATGCTTAGTTTTTCTTTAGTCACTGTGCTAGTGAATGTCTTGGTCTCTATCATATGTTGACAGGTTTTGCATCTTTTATCGCCACAGGGTCCAGATTGACTAGGTTGGTTTTGACTCGCGATTGGCGTTAGCTTTGCCCTGACTAGGATGTCCTTTAGGTTTTTTGGTCTCCGGTAAGCTACTACAGGTTTGTTCGGAAGTATTAGATTTTAGTATGTCTGACGATTGCACGGTTGGCCAGTGGTTTGCGATCATTTTACCTACTTTGGGATTGTCTGGGTGATAGGTCAGAATAAATGGTATCCTATCAACCTTTTCTTTCTGTCCATATCTGAGTAGGTCATCACGGTTTGTTTGTTTGGCAGTTTGGATTGCCTCCGCAATCAGGTTATTGTCGTAGCCTCGGTAAATTAAATGTTTAGCCAGCTCCTCAGACCTTTCTAGGAATCTTTCATCGTCGGAGCAAATTCTGAGTATCCTCAGTTCCTGGCTATATGGAATGTTCTTCATGCAGTGTTTTGGATGACAGCTGGTTGGGAGGAGATACTGGTGTTTGTCGGTCGGTTTCGAGTAGATGTCTGTGTGTAATTTGTTTTCCACCAGTCTGGTTGTTTTGTCCAGGAAAACATGGTTTGAGTTGGAAATTTCTGCCGTGAATTTTATTGAAGGATGGAAGTTGTTTGCCTTTGATATGAAGTCATCCAGACTTTCTCTTCCATACTGCCACTTCATTTCTATATCATCGATAAATCGTACCCACTGGTATGGTGTACGCTCAACCGATGCTAAGAGCTGTCCCTTAAGTTTTTCCATGAAAATTTTAGCATACGAATGGGCTATTTTAGTACCTATTGCAGTTCCATTGATTTGTAGGTAGTTTTCTTCATTAAATTCAAAGTTGTTCAGTTTTAGGACAAGCTCCAGGAGTTGGACTAAGAAGTGTGTGGGTGGATTGTTTGTTTCACAAATATAACAAATTTTCGCTTGCTCGTGATCAGATTCTTGTTGAGGTGTTAATTTTAACATTGGAGTTACTTTTTTCAAACGATAAGTAATATTATCAACTTCATTAATCAACTGCTTGAGAAGCCAGACAGCTGGATTTTTACCACGATAGAGTTGGATTGGTTTAGATAATCTCGAATCAGCGCAACAAACTACCTTGTACGCTACTCCGCATGGAACATGATTTTGAATTTTTCTTGTACTCGATTGGTTAGGATCATTTTCTACGCCAAGTACAGGTTGAAGTAAGCATTCGAAATCGACGTATATGACGAAAGGAATTTTTAGTTTATGATTATGATGGACAAACTGTAACACGCTATCTTTTTTAGATGGCATTGTTATTCTTTGTACGTCACTACAGTACTGCAAATGCTTTTGTAATGTTTCATTGTCTCTACAACCGTGCAAGCAGCGATAACAAAAGAACTTTTTGTTGTTATTTTTATTATACTGTCTTCCAACTAGTCTGTTAAAGTTTTTGATCCAAACGTAATGATTTTTATAAAACAGTAAATTGATAGTCGATTGTGAAGCTTTTTCTGAAATATACCTCGGATAGACATTTTCTTTTTCATCTAATCCGAAAACGTTAATCGAAACATTATTTTGCTTTTCAAACTTTGGTATTTGATTTTCTGCCACTGGAAAGTCAATACCAGCACAATTTAATCTTGACACGTGACTGATATACTTCTCAACACGATCAGCATTTTTTTCTGCTGGAAATAGCGCGGAAAGAACAGCCCATTGGAAACATTTGCTATCGACGTTTTTTATGTTTATACAGCACTGTTTATTTTTTATTTTTGGTGGCAGGTCGATATACGAACTACCGCGTAATGCGTCATATTTCATCGTGTGAAACAAAATTTCCTTGATCATTTCAAACTTCCAACCCGAACCTAATTCGGTAAATTCTTCTATTTTTTTCCAAATTTCTTGGTGTATTTCATTAGATAGTGACAAAAGATCACTACCAAGTAAAACACGTCTAGATTTTGCGTTGATGTAAGGGTCTGCAATTTCCTTGTTAGTAGATTCTTCCGTCACAAGTAGTTTTGAAAATATAACGTGATATTGCACTAACAATCTTAGACCCTTGTGTTTTTCAAGCTCACGTTTTACAGTCGTCTGTAGCAGATGAAAGAGATTTGTTTCAGAAAAATTTACTAAAACGTTTTGATTATCAAACTGATAACTATTGTCAAAACCTGTAAAAGCAGTCGCTATTTTAACAGGTTCTCCAATAAGACTTCTCTTGGCTATATCACGCAATTTCAACATCGCTATACTATAGTCTAATATCTAATTGATAATTTACTCCACTGCTAAACAACAATTAGAGATAAAAAAATATCACCTATACTATATAATGACAGTAAATCTGACAAGCGCACGTGAGCAAGAGGTATATCATGTTTATCCGAAGTACAATCTGTACGCTGGAAATGCACTTGGTTCGGTTATTAATATCATTACTGGAATATCTGTTGGTAAAGCAACGCCAGCGGGTTATACGATTAGTGTAAAGGGAGATAATACTGAAAGAATTACGATGTTTAGAAAAGATTTTATTTACACGTTATTTTGCGATGACATTCCAGAGGGGAAACGAGTATATCATTATAACGGTAAAGTCACTGATGATAATATTGAAAATTTATCCTTACAAGACGAGTTTCAGCCGCATCCGGTCTTTGATTTATACGAGGCTAACGATCGCGGTATTATAAGAAACAGAAAAACTAAAAAAGTTCTTAATAATATGAGCAATATGGGATATATCAGTGTGACTGTTAGAGGAACATCGACAGATCGAGTTTGTTATACTGGTCATAGGTTTGTTTACGAGGTGTTCAACGGATCTATACCCAATGGTCTGGTTATTAATCATATCAATAATGTAAAAACAGACAATCGATTGGAAAATCTGGAGCTAGTGACCCAACAGGAAAATGTGAGAAAAGGACGAGGTGGTGGTATTAATTTTAGATGCCCAATAAAACCTGTTATTTCGTTAAACCTTGAAACGGATGAGGAGATCAAATTCAAATCAATTACAGCTGCGGCGAAATATTATAATATAAATCCCAGAGCAGTAAAATTTGTAGCTGATGGAGCAACAAAATCAGCTTTTTCAAACAAATATGATGCTAGTATTATTTTTAGATATGATGATTAATAATATTTTGTAATTCGGTTTTAGTCAAACAATGATGAGCAAATGCTATAATATCATCGCAATCAAATTTTAGCGTCGTTACTGCACTTTCATTAATTTTATTTTTTTCTGCTTCTGTTAGTAATATTTTATGAGAATCACCTTGCATTACAATAACGTCAACGGAATATGAACTATAACCTGACAAGCATTTTCTTACCGCTTCAGTCAGTTCGTGGTAGTTTATTATATTAACTTTTTGGTGATATTTGACCTTGTCAGTCATCTTATAACAACAAATTAGATAAAAAGTATATTATAATATGGATATGATGAAACGACTTGCTAGCGATAAGGTCTCAACAATCTCTAATGATATGATAGACAAATCCATTGGTT